GATAATGGTCTAGAGCAGCTGGTGGCTGTACCACCCAGAGATGCAAAGGATGATGGGGCAGGAAGTAGCTCCAAGGTTTCCTGGGGACTGCACTGAGGAGCTGGGTTGGTCTGGATGCAAAGGATCAGGAATCGGAAAGGTCAGCCCTGGCATCCAGGAAAGAGGGTGGGGGGGTTGTGCAGCCCAGGGAAGTAGAGGGAGGTGAGGGCAGGCCCAGGCCCAGAAGCAGTGCTCCTGGGGACCAGAAAAGCCACTGAGTTGGTCTGGATGAAAGGGATCAGGAAGCAGTAGTGGTTCCCCCGGTGTCTGGGGCACCAAGACAAGGAATGGAACAGTACCTGGGCTTGGAGGAGAGACCAGCGGCAGAGATGAGAGGGTGAATGAGGCTGGGGGAGTGAAGGCACTGAGGGCGCAATTGACTTACCACAGAGAGAGCCATCTGTTTACATTTTTAAATTTCATGTTGATTTAATTTTGGATAGAGCCTAGAATTGTATCAGAACATCTAAGAACTAACATTACTACTTCTTATTCTGTAAAGTAGAAAAGGAAGGACACTTTCAAATTCTTTTGGTGAAGACAGTCTTACCCTAATACCAAAGACCAGAGAAAAATCCAATAGAAAAGAAAATTGGGGAACTGGAGAGATGGCTCAGTGGTTACGAGCACTAGTTGGGCTTGCAGAGGACCCAGGTTTGATTCCCAGCACCCACAATGATGGCTAACAACCGTTTCATAGCTCCAGATCCAGGGGAATCTGATGCTGTCTTCTGACCTCTGTGGGCTTTGCACAGCATGGGTGCACTTACCTACATGCACACAATACACTCATAAACATAAAATAAAAATAATTAAAATTAAAAAAGAAAATTTTAGGCTATTTTTTCTGATGCAAAAACTCTTAATACTTGCAAACCATTCAAGAGCGCAAATCAAAAAGATTATCCACAATCAAGAGATGGCTTAGTGGCTAAGAGTGCATACTGCTCATGGGCTGCAGAGATGGCTCAGCTGTTAAGAGCACTGACTGCTCTTGGAAAGGATCTGGATTTGATTTCTAACACTCACATGGTGGCTAACAACTGTTTATAACTCCAGTTCCAGGGGAATCTGATGCTGTCTTCTGACCTCTGTGGGCTTTGCACAGCATGGGTGCACTTACCTACATGCACACAATACACTCATAAACATAAAATAAAAATAATTAAAATTAAAAAAGAAAATTTTAGGCTATTTTTTCTGATGCAAAAACTCTTAATACTTGCAAACCAAATTCAAGAGCAAATCAAAAAGATTATCCACAATCATCTCTGGTTTCATCCCAGAGATGGTTCAACATATATAAATCAATATATGTAATCCACAACATAAACAGACTCAAGAACAGAAACCACATGATCACCTCATTAGATGTAGAAAAGGACTTTGACAAAATCCAACATCCCTTCATGATAAAAGTCCTAGAAAACCCAAGGACACAGAGGATATATCTCAGCATAATAAAGAGGCCAGGTGTGATGGCATACACCTTCAATCCCAGTCCTCAGGAGACAGAGGTGGGTGGAGCTCTGTGAGGTCAAGGCCAGCCTGGTCTACATAGTGGTTTCCTGGCCATCCAAGGGTACATAGTGAAACCTTGTCTAAAACAAACAAACAAAAAACACAACAAAGGCAATATTTAACAAGTCCACAACCAATATGCTAAACAGAGAAAAATTCAAAACATTTCCACTAAAATCAGGAACAAGAAAAGGATGTTCACTCTTTCCATACCTATTCAACATAGTGCTTAAAGTTTTGGCTAGAGCAGTAAGACAAGTGAAGAAGATAAAAGAGATATAAATACCAAAGGAAGAAGTCAAAGTATGTTTCGTTGCAAATGGTATATACACAAAAGACCCTAAAGACGTACCAGAGAACTCCTAGAACTGATGAGTACATTCAGCAAAGTATCAGGATAGAAAATAGAAATCAGTAGTTTTCCTACCTATGAACAAACATACCAAGAAAGAAATCAGTGCAACAATCCCATTCACACAAGCCTAAAAATATCCTGGAATAATTCTAAATAAGGAAGTGAAAGACTTGTATAATAAAAACTTCTTTGAGACATTGAAGAAAGACAAAAGAAGATGGTAGAAGATGGAAAGGCCTTTCATGCTCATGGATTGGTTACAGTAAAATTGTGAAAATGGCCATCATATGAAAAACAATCTGCAGATTCAACATGACCCCCATGAGAATTCTAAGGCAATTCTTTTTAAAAAATACTTTATTTTCTATGTATGAGTGTATTGCTTGCATATATGTAGATGTACCCATGTCATGCAAAGCCCATGGAGGACAGAAGAGGATGTCAGATCCCCTGGAACTGGAGTTGGGATGGTTGTTAGCTGCCATGTGGGTCCTGGGATTTGAACTCAGATCCTCTTCTAGAGTAGCCAGTGCCCTTAACCGCTGAACCATCTATCTAAGCCTCCCAATGCAATTCTTTATAGAAATTGAAAAAAAATGTTAAATTTCATATGGAAATACAAAACAAACAAACAAAAAACAGGATAGCCAAAACAATCCTGAACAATTAAAAAGGACTTCTGGATGTATCATCATCCCTGATTTCAAATTATATTACAGAACTATAGTAACAAAAGAAGCATGGCACTGGCATGAAAACAGATACATTGATCAATGGAATAGAACTGAGGACTGGGATATAAATCCATGCACCAATAGCCACCTAATTTTTGACAAAGAGGCCAAAACCACACATTCCAGAAAAGTCAGCATGTTCAACAAATGGTGCTGGTCAAATTGAATAGCTTCATGTAGAATGAAACTAGATCCCTGTCTCTTACCCTATCCAACCTCAACTCCAAATGGATCAAGGGCCTCAACATAAGACCTTATACCATAAATCTGATAGAGGAGAAAGTAGGGGATAAATTGGAACTTGAGGCACAAGAAAGGATTTTCTGAATAGGATCCCTAAAGTGCAAGCATCAAGAACAGTAATTGACAAATGTGGCCACATGAAACCAAAAAGCTTCTGGCACAGAAAAGAGGCAGTCTACAGATGGAAAGAAGTGTTTTGCAGCTATACATCTGACTGAGCGTTAATATCAAGAATATCCAGAATACTTGGGACTGGAGGAATGACTCAGCAGTTAGCACTGGCTGCTCTTGCAGAGAACCTAGCTTGATTCTCAGCACCCACATGGCAGTTAAAAATCATCCATAACTCCAGTTCCAGGGAATCCAACACCCTCTTCTGGTCTCCGTGGGCATGGTCTGCATGGGTGCACTTACTTAACATGCAGGCAAAACAATGATGTACATAAAATAACAAAATAAATGAATAACAATAAAATTAATTTTAAAAGAAAATATTTTTAAATATAAAAAATACACAGAAAACAAACAAACAAAAAAGACTAAACAACAAGAAAACAACCAACCCAATTTAAAATGGGGAATGGAAAATAGAACTAAACAGAGTTCCCAAATATTTTTCCTCAATAATTAAATTTTTGTGTATTTCACATATCTTAGTCATATTTAGACCTCTCCCCTATCTGCATTCCCCCATAATCCCTCCAATGGATTTCATGCATTCTGTCATATATATTAAGTCCTATCAAGTCAAGTTTGTGTCCCCAGATGTCCCTCTGTATGAGTTCATCCACTGGAGTCTAGTAAGCCTAGCTAGCATCACTTCCTTAAAGAATACTAACTCTCCTTCATCCAGTAGTAATCAGCTGCCAATAGTTCCTCAGTTAAGATAAGGGTTTCCTGCCCATTTCCCAATTCTATGCTGGTTTTTGTCTGAGTTTGCGTGAGTCTTGTGCATGTTTTCATCATTGCTGCAAATTCATATGAGCAAGTTCTCATAAGCCTTGTGGTCACCCACCCCAACTCTTACAATCTTTCCACCTCTTCTTTTGCAATGTCCCTGAACCCTGGGTGGGTGAGGTTTAATACAGGAGTCCTATCTAGGACTTTTTTTTGTCTTTTTGAGACAGAGTCTCTCTGTAGAAACACCTGGCCTGGAACTCACTATATATACCAGGCTGGTCTCAATCTCGGATCCACCTGCCTCTGCCTCCCAAGTGCTGAGATTAAAGGTGTGCGTCACCAGGCCTGCCTTTATCAAAGAAATTTTTAAATGAACTTTTACAATAATGCAAAGATAATCAGGAGCATACTTCTGTTGAGAAGAAGTCATAAAACAAATGTGTTGAAACTCTTAACATCTCATTTAAAAAGAAACTCTTTTCATAGTATGACCTTATCTGTTAACTGAAAAGTAAATAGTACCCCATGGAAAAGTCTGACAAATAAGATAGGTGCAGCCTAAGGTACATTTATCTCTTTCTATGCAAGTCATTAAAGATGATCACTAATAGAGATCTTCTATCATAGTGAATTCTCCTCAAATAAATAATGATGCGTTGAGGGACTGGAGAGAAGTCTCAGCAGTTAAGAGCACTGGCTGTTCATGCAGAGGACCTGGGTTCAGTTCCCAGCACCCATATGGCAACTCTGACTCCCTCCTCTGGCCTCTGTGGGTACTGCATGACATGTGGTACACTTACATGCATGCAGGCAAAACACTCGTATATATAAAATTAAAATAAACACATTTTCTGAAAAAATTTAAAATGATGGCTTGAAGTTGGGTATGGTGGTGCAGCACTTTAATCCCAGCACTCGAGAAGCAGAGGTAGGTGGATCTCTTTGAGATCAAGGCCAGCCTGGTCTACACAGCGAGCTCTAGGTCAGCTGGGGTTAACAGGGAAACCCTGTCTCAAAAATAAAAACAAAAATAAAAATGGTGGCTTGAAACACAAACTCTGGAACAGTCTTTCAGGAATGCCTTTGCTCTTTATCTTAGTTTTACCTTCATACTCCACTTGGAACAGCTCCAACATTTTTGCCTCTTTATTTCCCATTATCTTCTAATATTTGAAAGGATTTTACTCAAAACTGAATAGGAAATTTACCTCTGGGTCTAGTCCAAGTCCAGCTCGGATTAGGATAATAGTAAGGGCAGTGTTTCTTAAAGTTGAGGACCACGTGGTAGGAATATGGACAAATTTGCTAATAAATGGAACATTCCTGATGATGAAACCGGCCAGTAACATCCCTACAGGCAGAGAAAGGGGAAGAAAAAGAAAGTAGAAAACAAAGTATGTGTAAGTTCACTTTTCCAAGAGAGAAAAGCAAGAGCAGGTTATATACAAGCAGAAGAAGCAAGATGGGTAAAATAGTGGAGAGGATGACATGTGCAAGTGTGGCACAATTACAGTTCAGTGTTGCTGCAACTTAAACAGAGGGGGAGAATGCAGAGACTGGACTGCAGAAGCCAGGTCATGGAGTTTCCCTATGTGCCCAGGAAGGTTTTAGTTAGGAACTGATATAATGAGTCTTGCATTCTCTATGTGTTGATCTTGGTAAATTAGGCAGTAATAAAAGAGGAGCCAGAGACCAGTAAGAAAAATAGGCCACAGTTCACAGAGAGCTTGCAAATGGCCTAAACTTCCGCAAAAAAAAGGAGTTGGGAGAGGAGGGTAAAGATTCATGAATACTTAAGAGATTTGGGGATGCAAGGGTAATATGGACATAGAAATAGAAGTAAGAATTATTAGAAATTAGAAGCAAGGTATTGAGATAATCTATGTTGACAGTATATTGAATATTTATATATACTGGTTATTTAGAAGATATGAGACCTCTGATCAGTAATTTTCCTGTCTACCTGGAGAGTTACAGTAGCAAACAAGTACCTGTAAATATAATGAAGATGCCCAAGCAGCTTACTCAATAACCATATTAGAGCCCTATTTAATATTTGAATTGTAGATTCAAAAATTAAGCTTTTTCTAAGGTTTCTTTTACCTATAATTCATTTAAAAATAAGTAAGAACATCAATCAATAAACACAAATAATATATTTAGGATTTTCAGACTATTTAAAAAATAGATTTTGAAAAAAATCTGTTGTGAATAAATACATCTATAAGAGTTGTACACACACACACACACACACATATATATATACACACACTCCATAGCACAAGTACACACACATAATAAATAAATGTAATTGAGAGGCTGGAGAGATGGCTCAGCAGTGAAGAGTCAGCTGCTCTTGCAGAGAACCAGGGTTCAGTTCCAGCACCCACACGGTGGCCAACAACCATCTGTAACTCCAGTTCCAGGGGACTTGATGCCCTCTTCTGACCTCTGTGGACATTGTACAACACTTACACACATGCAGACAATACACTCATGCACATAAAACAATAATAATATAATAATAATAAATAAGTAAATAAAATATGTTTTAAAATCAGAGTCTATATATATATATATATATACAGTAAATGCACATAATGATAAGGTATATAGAACTTATAAAATATCAAGTCCAAATAGAAAATGTTCAGAATTTACAGTCATCAATGAAGCCTAAAGCTGATTATATATTTACCAATAAGAGGTGGGAGCGGAGGCACGATGGGGATTCGAATGACTTCTAAAAATTTTCCCCCAAGGAAGGCACTATAAAAAATAATTACTAGTCCCAATAAATTTCCACCAGGGAGAACTTCATGGCCTGTGAGTGACCAGAGTAGAATCCATAATACAATGAGTGTAACTCCTGAAATATAACACAATTATATCTTTATAAACATAAATATATAGGAATAAAAATGAATTCTATCAAATATATGAGTAGGTGGTTCTATACACCTATTCAGAATATAGATTATATTGCTTCCTACAATGGTTGAAGGAGAGCTGTTAAGATATATTTCAAAGATCCTATTAATTTATAGGACAAATTTTAAACAAATTATTCTTTTTCTTTCCTTTGAGGCAGGTTCTTAATCTGTAGACTAGGCTAACCTCAAACTCATAGCAATCCTTAATTTATAGGACAAATTTTAAACAAATTATTCTTTTTCTTTCCTTCGAGACAGGTTCTTAATCTGTAGACTAGGCTAACCTCAAACTCATAGCAATCCTGCTTTTGCCTCCTGAGTACTGGGATTAAATGCATGTGCTACCACACCTGGTCTAAAAATATTTTTAAGGGAGCTGGATAAGCTGGGTAAAAGTGCTTGCCAGACAGCTTGCCAGGAAGTCTGATGGCCTGGAACTCTTGAAGGAGAGAATTGGTTCTACAAAGTTGTCCTCTCTCTCCACACACAAACACACACACACACACACACACACACACACACACACACACAAATGCAAACTTTGTGAATTTTTTTCTTTGTGGTGCTAGGCTAGAGCCTCAGACTTGCTAGGCAAGAGCTCTACCACTAACTATAACCCCAGGGCTCTGAGTGAATTCCGTAAGGCACTAAACATAACATTATTTTTCTTTTTTAAGGTAGGGTTTGGTTTTGTTACCCAGTTTGGCTTCCAAGTGCCCGCTTGCCTCCTACTAGCTGGCACTGTGGCCCACACTACAATACCCGGAAAATATTTAACATTCCGAAAAACTATCAAGGCAATATGATGAGATTTTCTTAACTGTAAGCTTGAAAGCAGCTTTCTCATGAGGAATACAAGAATGACTGGCTGGGATACCAACCGTTAACCTCTTTCAAGATCACAGGGGCTGAATAATACATTTTAAAACAAGAGCAGATTAAATCTTTGTATTAAAAGGATTACTCAGTCAATTTTTTAAAAAGTATTAGAAAGGGAAATGCTAGAAAAAATGAAGCTGTACTTTGTGGAAATAATTATAGAGTACCATATGTGCAGGAAGTATTGGTAGGCAGGGTGTTAATAAGGGTGGTACAGAGCTAGTGAGATGGCTCAGCAGGTCAAAGCATTGGCTATGCAACCCTGACAACCTCAGTTTGATCTCTAGACCCCATGTGAAAAAGCCAATGCCCTGGCTCACATCTGTGGTCCAACCTGTAGCATTCCCATAGGGACATAGGAGTTGGAGGCAGGAGATTCAGCTGAGAGTTTGCAGAGGCACAGCAGTGGCAGAAATAACAAGAGACCCTGCCTCAAACACAAGGTAGAGGAGAACTGATTGCCGAAAAATTGTCTTCTGACCTAAAAATGTCTTCTCCAAAAAATTAGGTGTCTATTTAAGAGAGTACAGGAAACCCCTGAGAAGACAACAGTAACAGCAAAAGCTCTTATAAAAGACATCAGCTATTGAAAGCCCATGGGGCAGAAGGAGCTCACAGTTCAAGTATAGGCAGGACTCCAAAAGAGGCCCTATGAATTCCTGGCTTTTGCCATCCTCCTAAATCTTTGTTCCAGTAAATATAAATGGGCTCAAATATTTTAACCATATTTCATGAAATTTTATTAATTTCATGTTTATTTGAATAAATAAGCACTGCCTCTAAAATTAATCTATTTGATACTTTGTTCAACATCAATTGGAGAACGTATAAAATATATAGATGAAGTCTGAAACTATGTCACAATGGCAGACAGGACATACATAACTAAAACAAAATGAAATAACACGAATTAACTTAGAAAAAAATCAGTAGCCTTCCTATATGCCAATAACAAGCATGTTAAGAAATCAGATAAAACAAGCCTGTCCACAATTGCTTTTAAAAAATCTTGAAATAAGTCTAACCAAGGAAAAATCAAACAACCCAATCAGTAAATAGCAATAGTAATAGCAAATCAAAATGTAATGAGCTGAAAGTTCTTAAAAAATGAAGTATAAATGGCCAATAAACATGAAAAACTGCTCAGAGAAATGTGAATGAAAATTATGTTGAGATACCATCTCACCCCAATCAAACAGCAGCCACTAAGAAACAAATAACAAAGGCCAGTGAAGATTCAGACAGAGGGAACATGCTGGTGGGAATGTAAAGCAGTCCAGCCGACAAGGAAATCAGCATGGACTGTCCCCCCAAACTAAAAATAGATCTACCATACAATCCAGTTGTGCCACTCCTGGGTATTTACTCAAAGGACTCCAAGCCAACATATCTTTGCACACCAGTGTTCATTTCAGCCCTATTCACAAGAACTGAGTTGTGAACCCAACCTAGATTGATGTCAACAGAGGAATGGATGCAGAAGATGTAGGCTTCTTTTTAGGGTTTTTCATTGTTTTATTGGTCTTACTGTTCTGTTTTTATGTCCGCACCCTGCTGTTTTGGGCATGGTGGCTCATTTTGAAATCAGGTACTATAACACATCCAACACTCCCCCGCACCTCTTTTGTCTTTTTGAGACAGAGTCGCCCTGTAGCCCCAGCTGGCCTGGAGCTTGCTATGTAGACCAGGCTAGCTTTAAGTCACAAAGATCTGCCTGCTTCTGCAACATTCCTTTTATGCTCTGGATTGCTCTATTTGGGGTGCTTTGTGTTTCTGTATAAATTTTAGAGTTTGTTTTCTATTTCTGTGAAGAATGCCCCTGGGCTTTTGATGGGGATCACTGTGAATCCGTAAATTCACATGAACAAACCAAGTATGGTTAAACATAAGTAAATCAATACACATAGTAAAACACAGAAGCTAGCACAAACATAAAGTGATCATTTCAGTAAGTAATATGGCCATTTGGACACTATGAATTCTACCAACAGATGAATGTCTAAGGTCTTTCCATTTCCTAGTGTGTTCTGCAATGTATTTCTTCAGTGCTTTATATATAGTTTTTATTACAGAAGTTATTGACATATTTGGTTAGGTTTGTGCCTAGGTATTTTATTTGTTGATATACGTTTTATTTTTTGAATCCGTTGTGAATGGGACTGTCCTCCTGGTTTCATTTTCAGTTAGTTCACTGTTGGTATATAGAGAACCTACAGACTTTTGGATGTTTGCTTTGTATCCTGCTATTTTGATGAAAGTGTTTATCAGATTTGGGTTATAGATTTATTGTACATAACCCTTATATTGAAGTATGTTCCATCTATCTCTAGTGCCTTCACAGCTTTTTATCAGGCAACCATGCTGAACTTTGTTAAAAGCCTTTTCAGTAACTATTGAGGTGATCATGTGATTTTTGTCTCTGAGGCTTTTATTACTGAGTCACATTTATTTGCACGTGTTGAACCATCCTTACATCCCTGGGATGAAACCAAATTGTTTACAGTGTACGATCTTTTTATGTTGTTAGATTCTGTTTGCAAGCATTTTATTGTGAATTTTTGCACCTGTGTTCATCAAGAAAGTTGACCTATAGTTTTCTTTTTTGTTGTTCTATGATTATCTGCTTTTGGCAGAAGGGTAATACTAGCTGAAAAATGACTTGCTAGCATCACTTCTTTTACATATGTGTGTGTGTGTGTGTGTGTCTGTGTGTGTGTATACTACAGTGTACATGTAGAAGTCAGAGGACAACTTGCGGGAGTCCATTCTCTTCTTCCACCAGATGGGCCCTGGGGCACAAACCTAAGTCATCAGGCTTGGTGGCCACACCTTTAACCCTTCATGCCATCTTGCTGCCCCTGAATAGGTTTTCTATACATTAGGAATTATCTCCACTTCTACCTTTAGTAAATGGGCTCTTATGTTTGGCCTCTTTATTATTTCTCATAGTTCTTGAAGATGTGGCCATACGTTTTTTCTTTATTGATATCTGAAGGTTGTATCTCCTCAGCCTTGTCTTCCGTCTGTTGTTTTCTTCTGCTTGGTTGAATCTACTGATTATGCTTTCCAATGCGTTTGTTATTTAATTTATTGAGCTTTTCATTTCCAATTGTTTTAAACAAAATCTCAAACTTCTTGCTGGATTTTCCATCCATACTGCTAATTTTTTCTACATACTGATTTTATATCTAAACCCCAATTGTTTTCCCTATTTCACTCATCTGCTTGTTTGTTCCTCTTTGAAGTCAGGAGTGTTTTTACAGGACTTTTGAATCTGCTGTCTGGCATTTCACTGATGCCTGTCTCCTTGGACCTGGCGAATGAAGAGGTGGGGGCTCCTGCAGCATTCAGATTGCTCTTCTGTGTTTCCTTTTCCTGTCTTGAGAGCCGTACATCTGTCGGAATAGATAGATCTTTGCTTCTATTTGGAGACCTTCTCAGTAACCAGCCTTCTTTTGAGGTCTTAATTCCCAGTATCACTCAGAGGACAGAAGATGCACCACTGAAACAGCTTTTGGACAAGGCTCTGTTTCTCTCCCCAACCAGGAAGCCCTAGCTAGTTGTGTGCTGGCCACTCCATTTTGGGCAACACAGTCCTTCTCTTTCCTCAAAATTTTCAGCTATTATGCCATTTCCGTGGTGATTTCTAATGTTCTTACAATCATTCTTTGGAACAGAGTTCATTCTTTGTCACCAAGACTCTGCTCATTGACCACATAACTTAGGGGCAGCTTCTGATCTGTCACCTTCCCCGAGATGCTGTCATCGCTTAGTCTGTCTTCCAGTACTTTTCTTTCTTTCTTTGCTTTTCTTGGGGATTTTATAGAATTTCACTTTATCTTAGCACTTTGGTTATATCTCTTCCTTTTTGTTTTTGAAACTAATGGTTGCCCCAAAATTTTCAATATACAATTATAACTAATCCAAGTCTACTTTCAAACAATGCTATATTACTTTGTATATACACAAAGTGCCTTGTGCAGTTATATATTACTAAATGATAGGGATATATTTAGAGGAATGTATTTTTAGGTGGTTTCAACATTATGTGACCATC